ATGAGGTTAAAAATGCTTTTGTTCCGGGTCGATTGATAAAGGACAACATTATTAAGGCCTAAGAATCCATTTTTTCCAGAAGAAGTGGGAAGGTTGACTGGCTATTTTTCTCCAAAACTTGACATAAGCAAAGCTCGTGATCAGGTGGAGTGGAGTTTTTTGGGCGATAATAGAGAAGATGGGTTTGTGAAAGCTGGATAGAGATGATTAGATTATGTGTGAGCACAGTCACTTACTCCATTAGTATAAATAGAGTGACAGGGAGTAGTTTTGCCTTGCATCCCTTCAACCCGACCTTTTCTCTTGTGTAGTGAGGGTTTGTTAGCTTGTTTCAATGAGAATATTTGTGGAAAGATAAAGGGTGTACGATTCAGGTATGCGCCTTGGATCTCTTATCTGCTTTTTGCGGATGATAGCCTAATATTTAGGGAGGCTATTTCTCGAGTAGCTTCACAAGTTAAGAAATCCTTTACATATATGGAAGCAGTTCAGGCCAAGCTATAAAGTTTGATAAATCAGGGCTCTTTCAGTTCAAACGTCATTGACGAGAATTCTAGGGATGTTCGTCGTAGTTTTGAGGTGTTTTCTAGTTCAAACCTGGAAAATACCTTGTTTGTCAACATTAGTAGGTCGAAACAAAAGGTACTTTTCTCAACTTAACGTAAATTCAACAATTGGGTTTGAGTTGAGTGTCCGTGTGCTTTCTTGGGGGTAAGGAGGTTTCATCAAGTCCGTGCTTCAAGCTATTCCTCTATATGCAATGAGTTGTTTTTTTTTGTTACCAAAAGGTCAATGTTCAGAACTTGAGAGTATTATAGCACTATTTTGGTGGCAAAAATCGACTATTAAGGGGGCAGTCACTGGTGCTCTTGGTTGTCACTCTGTACATTAAAAGAGTTGGAGGACTTGATTTTTGAGACCTGGCCAATTTAAAATTGCGCTTTTGGATAAACAAGGATGGAGATTGTTGGTCGATTCGTTGTCCTTGGTGGATTGGCTTTTGAGAGCAAAGTATTTCCCTGCTAGTGATATTTTACAAGCAAACTTGGGCTCTTCACCTTCATACATTTGGAGAAGCATCTGGAGTGCGAAATAACTTCTACTACAAGGTATAAGATGGAAGGTAGGAACAGGTAACTTGATCTCGATCTGGAATGTTTTTTGTCCCCGAACAGCAGGCCATCTCATGTCACGTCTACGAGGAATGATTTGGTACAAACACTGGCAGATTTAATCGATACAATCACACGGTCTCGGAAGAAAGATGTGGTGCATTACATTTTACGATTGAGAAGTTGATTTAATATAGGTATTTCGATATCTGGTGTCAAGATGATTGAATATTTGGAGTGGAAAGCGATCGAGAGTTCACATTATGCGTTGTGGTTATTGGTTGTTACTTTCAGGGCTAAAATAGAGTCTGCGGATAAAGAGGTGTTTCGACCAGTTGGGCTTGTGCTTATCAACAGAAAATAAATTGCAGGTTTGGAAATTCATTCATAACTTCACCCCCACTAGGTAGAATTTTTATGTTAAGCTTATTTTAAATACTCTGTTTGCCTACACTATGTAACTACTGTTTAATCTAGTGTACATGCTTTAAGAGAATGTGAATTAGCCAGTTTGGTATGGAAATCAATGAACTTTACATGGCCTAATCAGATTACTGCAGAAGGTTTGTTGGTTGTTTTGGTTTTTTAGTCATTACCTAAGTTCGAAGCACACAGGAATTGTAATCAAGTTACTGGCTATTTGGTACGCTCGTAACAGATTCTATCATGAGGGGTAGTTTCTGAGAGATGAGGATTTAGTTACATTGGCCAGGGCTAAGTGTAAAGAATATGTTACGGCTAACAGTAGGATCCATGGTCCGCCCCCAGGAGCTAGTTCGATGGTTGCCCCCTTTACCTCTGGCAGTGAAGGTCAATTGTGATGCTTGTTTCATACAAACACTGAGAAGAACTGGGTCAGGGGTATGATACGAAACAATAAAGGAAATATCATGGATGCATGTCAAAGATGAGGGGCGAATTACCTCAGCGTTTCAAACGGAAGCTTTGGCAGCGATGCATGCAGTCCGGTTTGCACTAGATATGGGTTTCCAAGATGTGATAATCGAAGGGGACGCACGATCGGTTATTGAGAAACTCTACAAAATGGATTTATCGGAGACAGGGTCCTGACTACTTCTTGTCTCGGGCCAAAAACAAAAATATGCCCATAATTTAAAGGAAATTGAAGTAATGTCTAATATAAATTTTTAGTAGAATTCCTTTTATTAAATTAAACAAATAATAATTCATACAATATAAAAATGTCAAAAAATATTTAAGCATGCTAATACTTATAAAAAAATTGTCTTCGAGCATTTTTGATGTAAATCATTGATGATAGTTTTAGCATCAATCATTTCTAACATATTTTCTCAATATATAATATAGCATTTGGAAATCAAAGAATGATCTTATCTAGAATTTGGAAATATATAAATTCAAAGAAAGAATTTGAAAACATGATCTACCTAGAATTTTAAGAACAATCTTCAATATGATTCAAGCACCGTAATTGATGATAACAATTATGACTTTGTGTTTATAGAAAAATGAGAAATTAAAAAGCGAGAGTTATAATTTTAAAAGAAATTGTGAAATATGGAAGAGAAAAGTAGAATGTTAATTATACTTCAACTTTTTCTTCCCATTGAGTTTTGAAAAGAAATAAATAATGTAATAAAACTTTCGATTGATATGGAAATCGGGAACATGATTTGTGAATTGATGGTGAAAATTTAAAAAACCAAATTAAAGAGATACAATTAGAGTTTGATGAGAAAGATGAACAATTTATTAACATTAATATAAAATTCAATGATGAGAATTGACACTTTAATTGTAACACCCTAAACCCAATTAGGCCTAAAATGTCACAGGGCTACCAAGGCAACCCATGATTTTAAAAAACCTCTTCATTTCTTTTTTAAACATTTTGAATGGTATCATAGATAAAACAAAAATTATTAAAATCATTTTACAAAATTGGAGCTTCGTGACACTAATTTGAAATTAAAATATTAAAACTCCGAGTTTAATAGACTGAATACATAAGTAAGGTTCTATGAATACATATGCCCACTAAGCTACGATACAATACTCTGAAGGGGATGCTAGAATTTTTATTGCGACACAGGCACCACGAACTGCTCATGCTACTAACCTGCCAACGGAAAACATCCGAAGGCTGAGCTTACAAAGCCCAATAGTATAATCGCTAATTAGAGCAGCATAAGAATTTCATAAACTCAAGCATGCTGAAGGCATGGTATTAAGCAGTAAGTACACGCATGATCTGGATCATGTGCTACCTACTTAAGCCTTACATGTTTTATTTCTTTGGTAGGGGTCTCATGCTTCCTTAAATCCTCTATTAAGGGTTTATCCATGAGTACACTACTAAACTCTAAGCCTAATGTCTGTATCTTTTACGCGTTAACTAATTATGTACCGACGTTCCTATGCATTATTTGAATGCAACACTAACTCTGCCATGCATTATCTGAATGGAATACTGACTCTGTTGTGACTCATACACTAGCTGAGGTAGGCATTATGGTGCAGATGAGGGGCTGCATCTCGAAAATCACACACCATTCTTTCCTACCAGATACTAATATACAATACACAATAACAACATAAAGTTGTGGCAGGCATCCTGGTGCAATCGAGGGGATTCATCTCTGAGCTCACATACCCCTCTAGCCTGTCGGAATACCCTTGAGTACTTGAGGTGATTTCGTAAAAACGTACACCCACCCCTTAAATATGGGGTGAGATACGAAGCTACATCAAAACGTACACCCCTCCAACTTAATCCATCGATTATTGGGACATCTGCACCTAACTGGCAAAGAATTACCTTGGCACTGACTGGTATATACCTGGACAGATTGACATGACAATCATCCTATTGCTAAAGTAACTCAAGTGTCCTGGCTGTTTTCCGAGTGTCATACAAAGGATAGTTTTTATGATTTCTAGCTATGTAATTTCTAGATGTTACTGTTATTGTTTTGACTGTTACTATTACTGTTTCTATTTCTAGTTTTTATAAGTTATCACTGACCTCGTTTACTATTCACCCTAGTTGTTAACTTGCTCATTCTCTAATCTAGAACGTTATACGAGGAATCACTAGTATGTTATTACAGATATTCTGTATTGATCTAGTATACGCAACTCAAGAATATTTTAATCATTCTGGCTCTGGGGAAGTTTCTACGTGTTTGAGACTTCACGGCAGTTTCTATGTTTGTTACTTACTGGCTAGGGTTCTTATTGGCCTAGTATCTGACATATGTTCATTGTGGGTAGCGAAGCTCTATTCGCTAATCCTATGTTTTCCTTTAATTTGCCCTTTAATTAAAGGAATATTGTGCGTCCAACACCCTCAGTCGTTCTTGCGGTATACGACACTATTGTTCTTATAATTTGATTTGTTGTTCATACCTCTTGTTGGTACACCTTGTGCACTGATCCTCTGTCCAAAATATCTGTTGTGTGCTTACTGAAGATACTTGAACATATTACGTCTGTATGGCTACACTGGTTGTAAGTAACTCCTACGAGTGTCTCAGGTCCCCTTTGACCATTTACATCCCTCTCAGATATGCTTATCCTTACGGACTATTCCGAACTATTAAAGACGTTAATTGGGTCAAAATTGATCATAGAAGAAGGGTAAGATCGATGCTCTAGTTGTAGTATCGATACCCTAGGGTCAAGTATCGATCCCCTATGAGTATCGGTACTAAAAATGCATTATGCTGGAAAATTGGGACCTTAGTATTGATATTGCTACCCTGAGTATTGATACTTTAGGGACAATATCGATACCCCCTTGGCAGTATTGATACTCCCCTCTAAAATCCTTAGTTTTTTAGCTGTAATTATCCAATATCAATATTATTCATCTATCGATACTCGAACCATGAAATGGGTATTTACCACAAATCTTAGCCCTAATTCATCCAATAACACCTAAAACATAGATTAATCAAGAAATCAAAGTAACCCTAAATGCTCAATTACTCAAATCTTCGCAATTGCTTGAAATATAGAAAAGCTTAATACTCGAAAGGATTAGAAATACACTACATTGTTGCTTGAATCCCAAAATTGAGCTCCTTGCTTAGTCAAAATCCTTTCCTTGTGATTTGGGTGAAAAACCTAAAATTTTCTCTTACAACATAAACCCAAGCTTGAATTTTAAAACATTATTACTGGGGGTTTAATTATGATGAATTTGAAATCTAAAAAAGTGCTAAAAATCTTACCTTTGCTATGACTTGGAGAGGAAGAAAATGGAAGAAAGAAAAAGGAGAAAATGAAGTTGAAAAATGATATAAGGTTTTCATCTTTAAGAGAATGGGCTAATTACACTACTGGTCCCTCTTCTCATTTCTATTATGCAAAATCCTTTTTTATGGCTAATTGGGCTTAAGTCTAACCCAATTTATCCCAACGATATGAATTATAATTTCTACAGGGTCCACTTACCTCCAGGTAGACCCAAAACTATTAGTCCATAATTTGGGGTGTTACAACTCTCTCCTTTTAAAAGAATTTCATCATCAATACTTACCTAGTTTGAATGACCATCCTTAGGTCAACATTGAGAAATCTTGAAGCGCTTAAACCTTATAGAAATTGATTCTCAAGGAAAAAGTCCTTACAATTTGACATGCTGCTCGAAACCCGCAAAATTGGTTTATAATTTTCTGAGGGTGCTACCAACACTAAACTTTGAGCAAAAACCTTTGAGAAGCACGATTTCCAAAGAATTTACTCTCTTACTATATGATAATGTACGCTCAGAGCGCTTCACAAAGATGACACTATTTCAAAATCATTACTATCGCTGAATCCTTATCTGGCCAACCTTTTTCAATCGAGTTAGTTCACTGCATAACCCGATAACCTCTTTTACTTGCTGGATATAGGTAACTCTCCATGCTCTACCTTAATATCTTATAGAACTTGCCAACACTGTCTCGTACCGACTACTGAAGACATGTTGATATTTCTCGACGAATGTCAATCTCTATGCTTCTGATACGAAACTCTGATTTTACAATCACCATGCTACCAGACTATTTCTCATTACTTTGGGACTTACATATGTTTTACTCGCCTGATTAAGATCTAGGGTGCTCAAAATTGAAAATTGACCACTTATCAAGTGAAACTAACAATATTGGCTCTCTTGGAGAGTACGCCTCACAAGGTGAAGATCTGGCGCAAACGTACTCTGTCTAAGGATTCGAAGACTCTGCATTTGTAACTTACTACAACTTATCATTACTGAGTTATTCGATGACAGCTCTCGATTTTCATACTACGCTTAACAAACTTAATTTTCTTTAAGCTTAAACACCCAAAATCTGCGATACTATACAACGTTGAGTACTGCTGGGTGTGATATAACTCGCGCTCATATACCAATGAAGACATTACTGACGAGGCTTAGATCAATTAGTTGATTCACTTACCGCTCGCAAGAAGACATCCTGGTAATGTCTGCTTCGCTACACCTTGAGACTCACTACTAACAATAACACCTAAAATAATTCTACAATATGGGGTTAAATTTTGGAACTGTTGCATTGAAATATACACCGAGCTAACTTAATCCTTGCGAGTACTTATGAAATCTGAGCCCAATTAGAAACTGAAGTGCCTTGGCACTTGCTGAGCTATTTTCTGAGATTTTCTAATGACAGGGTGATTGCTAAAGTGACAATAGTAACCTGAGTACTCTTAATGCTCTCAATGAGACCTCTACGTCCAGACTGAACCTGGGATTACTGATTCTTTGTGGGTCAATTGCACAAACCCTCTGCTGATAATACAAAGACCTCCTTATAGTCTCGTATCTGATGAGACCATAAGAAAAGATACTCTTCTAGGAAACATGCAAGGTGAAAGATTGTACGCTAAATATTTTTTAGATTTGATCTTCAACTCAACAAGAACAACCACATGTTCTCCTAACTTTGTCCCAAATCATGAGGTCAAGTAACACTTGTGCCAACACACCTTTTAGGTCGACTATCGGGTCTGATCTAAGCCCTCAATGACTTTCTAAGGTAGCCTTAAATATTCACAATGGTCTACCTACTAACCGTTTGGATATGCACTTTTGGATTTCTTATCTGTCTCTCATCTACGACAACAATATCCTAACCCTCTCTACTCATAATCTACCAAGCTGAATCGAGAAGTGATTAATATGCTTCATCACTTTCATTTTTATATAAAACTGACATGTCCATATGAAGGTTCTCAATCATGTTGAACTACTAAGATTCTTCATTTAATCGAGCTGAAACATCGCCATTGGAATTAGGGTAATCATTCACTATAAGAGCTAATGATCCATATCCATAACACTTCTTTGAAAATTTTAAAGTACCTTCCTTGCTGATTTTTTACCTCAATTCTCACACTCTAGGTAATTTAAAACTCTACTGGAGCATTTAAAGCTCGCCACTGATGTGGAGCTGACGGTCTCCCATGAGACCCTATAACTCACCGCTGACTCGACTAAAGACTAACTGACGTCACTCTTCTATGCTCACATGAACCTCTTGTCCACTCTGTCACTAACTGAGATAAACTTACTCATATACAAGTCCTTACACTCAAGGTGCCTAACTCTCCCAACAAACTCATCCTCATAATCTGCTCTAAAACTTTCTAAGCAGATCTGCTGCTAGATATGTAAATGAATCCTCTCAAGTGACCCTTGCACTTCAAGGACTTGGCCATAAATAACTATGGAGCATAACACTCAACCTAAGAAGGTCACTTCTCATATTCATCCACTGAGTCATCCCTGAACTAGTTGAGAGATATGCACTCTCAATTCATCCATATGCGCCTTACTAATATACTTTCTTTAAACTCACCCAGGAATTGATTCTACGAGGGAACCTCTGGTTGTATGGCCATTCCTACAGTTTTCAAATAATTGATAGCATCACCCTTGAGCAAATAATGCTGCATTACAACTTACATTCTAAGGTAAGCTGAAGCTACCTAAAATTCAAGTGATCTCACTCAACTGCTGATTAGCTGAATTTGGGTCATCATCATTTGAACCGAAAAAGTTAACTATGTGATTACTTCCTTATCCTCTGTACTAGGGATTTTGTTACCACTAACGTACCTTGGGTGGCTGACTGAATTATCTATGCTCTAGGAATAACGTCCACTACCTCTTTGAGAGTGGAAGTTAAACCTCTAGAAAAAGTCACTTTTGCGATGCCCGTTCCTAACTGGACACAAAAAATTACTGCTCTTAGCAAATCCTTTACTAACTTTACAGGGGTGAGAGACACGCCTCTCCATCTTTGAAACATAGATTAAGAGAGGAAGCACCATCATGATTCCAGACTTATACAAGTACTTTCAGTACCTAGGGGCATATATTCATTAACTCCTTACTTATACTAACCACTGGGTCCTAGCACTAACTCAACCTGATGCTTTGATGATACAACTAAATGTAACACCCTAAACCTGATTGGCCTAAAGTACCACATTGGGCTACCGATACAACCCCTGATTTTAAAAAAATATGTTCATTTGTTTTTCAAAAATTCTAAATGGTATCATAGATAAAACATAAATAATGTTATAAAATTATTTTACAAAATCGAAACTCTATGACATATAATTTAAAATTAAAAATACAAACTCTGAGTAGACTGAATACATTAGTAAGTTTCTATGAATACATATTCCCACTATGCTATGGTATAATACTCTGAAGGGGATGTTGGAATTCATACTGCGATAATGCTCCATGAACTGCTCATGCTACTAACTTGCCAATGGAAAACATCCGAAGGATGAGCTTACAAAGCCAACATAATCGCTAATCTAGAGCAGTATATGAATTTCAAAACGTAAGCATGCTAAAGACATTGTAAGTAGTAGGTACATCATGATCAGGATCAAGTGCTACCTAGTTTTACTTGAATAATTTCTTAGGTAGGGGTCTCAAGCTTTCCTAAATCCTCTACTAAGGGTTTAACCATGAGTACACTGCTAAAGGGTCTATAACCCTAATGTTTGTATCTGCTACACATTAACTAATTAAGATATTGATGTTCCTATGCATTATCTAAATGCAACACTAACTCCGTCAAGCATTATCTAAATGCAATACTGACTCTGTTGTGACTCATACACTAGCTGAGGTAGGCATTATGGTGTAGTAGGGGGGCTGTATCTCAAAGCTCACGCACCCTTCTATCTTACTATATACTAATATATGATACACAACAACAAATATAAGGATGTGGCAGGCATCATGGTGCGGCTGAGGGGCTGGATCTTGAAGTTCACACCTTTCTAGCCTACCATAATACCCGTGGGTACTTTAGGTGTGATCTAGAAGTATATAAAAAACGTACACATTATCCCTCTAATATATAGAGTGACATTTGGAGCTACGCCGAAAATGTACACCCTGCCAACTTACTCCATTGAGTCTTAGGGCATTTGAGCCTAGTTGGAAAGTGAAGTGTCTTGGCACTGACTGGTATACATTGACAGACTGATAAACAAGACTATTGCTCTATTGCTAAAGTAACTCTAGTATCCTGACTATTTCCCGAGTTTCATAGAATGGTTAGTTTGATGACATCCTAGTTGTTACTGTTTCTAGATGTTACTGTTTTATTATTATTGTTTCTGTTTCTAATTGTTATGAGTTATTACTGATTTACTATTCACCCTTGCTATTAACTCGCTCATTATTTAATATAGAATATTATGCGATGAATTACTAGGATGTTATTACCATAATCTGCACTAATATGGTTATACACTACTCAAGGATATTCTAGTCATTTTCTGACTCTGGGGAAGTTTGGTTTTCGAGACTTCATGGCAGTTTCTATGTTTGTTTTTTACTGAATAAGGTTATAATTGGCCTAGTATCTA